CTCCTCCTCCTCCTCCTCCTCCTTCTCTTCCTCCTCTTCCTCCTTCTCCTTCTTCTTCTTCCTTGGCAGAACCTGGTGATGTTCCTCAGCGTGCTTGTGGACTGGCTGATCCCAGACATCCCCAAGGACATCAGCGAGCAGATCAAGAAGGAGAAGAGCGTGCTGGTGGATTTCTTTCTGAGGGAAGAGCATGAGAAACTGAAGCTGATAGAAAACTTTATCTCCCGGGACAAACAAAGGAGTTGGAGTGAGAAGAAAAGGAAGAGGAGTCGGGCGGCCAGTTTCACCCAGTTCTACCGAAGCCGCCGTGGAAGCTTTACGTCTCTTAGTTCAAGACACAGCGATGTATGAGCCATATCTGAACCACTCGGAACCTTCCTGAATACCCATTGGGTTCCTCCGAGGAACGGCGAGAGCTGTAGTAACACAAAGGGAGTTCAGGGGTCTTCCCTGCTCACCCGTGGAAGTGGTGTCAAGGCACTTAGTAGAGCTATGCCCTAAGACAAAAAAAAACACTGTCCTTAGGAATGAAATCTCATACTTGTGTACCTGTCACACGATCTCACCTTGGTGGCTGGGCGGAAGAGACCCGATAGAGATCTAGAAAAGCAGGTGTGGTTTTTCAGCACCTTCTCTAGGTTACAAACATCATGCTTTTAATCACTTTAAGCCCCCACGCCGTAAAGACTTACCCGTTTGGTTGGGAACGCTGATGTCGGGGGTGGTGGTGGGGGGTCTCTCATTTCCGCGGTTCTAAATCACTCTAGGTTCCTAAATGTTCGGCTAAAGTCGTAACGTAGACGTGGGAGCCAACTCCCCAAGCTTGGCTGCCTTTGGCAGGATTGCTGTTATAAAATTCACTTGGGGATCTCCTGCTTGCCCTCTCTCTCTCGGATGGAACCAGGGGTGAGATTCAACCCGTTTGAACCAGTTCGAGCGAACCGGTATCTCCGGCTATTGGCTGGGAGCGAACAGGTTCACACCGACTTTCAGCTGGGCCTGCCTACCCACCCCTGCACTATACTCACTTATGTTCCCTTTTCTGACGCCCAGCTGACAGCCGCGGCCAAGTGGATTTGCTGCGCCTCAGCTGTTTTCCTCCCCAGTAGTAATGCGGAAGGTGATTTCTCTGTAAACTGTGCATGCGTTTACAGTGCGCGCTCAGAGAACCGGTTGTTAAACGGGTAGGATCCCACCCCTTGATGGGACATTTTCCACCTACCCACAAGCCTGAGCTCGGTTGCTCAGAGAGATGAAAAGAGACACAGTTGCCGATTTTTGGGTGGGAGGATTTTTTCCCCCCAAAATCCTGCCTTTGGTGGCTGCATAGCCTTCTAAAATGTCATGGTGGGGACATGGGAGGGAGAGAAAATACTAGATTATTCACTGACTGGTTTGGAATGACCTTTGCTATTAGATGACCACCAACTGGCCCCATCAGAACACCTTTAAGTTCCAGTGAGAGAACTTGAGAAAATAGAATAGAATAGAACAGAGCTGGAAGGGACCTTGGAGGTCTTCTAGTCCAGCCCCCTGCTCAAGCAAGAGAGAACCTATATCATTTCAGACAAGTGACTGTCTCCAGTCTCTTCTTAAAAACCTCCAGTGATGGAGCAACCATGATTTCAGTCGACAACTTCTGTTCCACTGGTTAAGTATCGGTGTTTTCCATCACCCACCCTTAGAAGTTTAAAAAGGGCTTTTCATTTTAACTTGAGACTGACTTATGGTCCATGTTTTCTTTATTGGAAAAGGTGAGAGCGAATCAGAGGTGGGTTCCTACCGGTTCGCACCAGTTCAGTAGAACCGGTTCGTCAAATCTACTGAACCGGTTAGAAGAGGTTCCACCAGTGGACCCGGAAAGCAGGCCACACCTACAGAAGAGGTTCCAAAATTTTTTGAAGCCCACCACTGGTATGTATGTATGTATGTATGTATGTATGTATGTATGTATGTATGTATGTATGTATGTATGTATTGTATGTGTGTTGATATGTATCCTTTCCCCAACCCCCATTATGTGCATGATTTCTCAGGAATGCTTATATTTTTGGCACTCACACACACACATACACACACACACACACACACACACACNAGCTAAACATAAGCTACTCCCACAGAACCGGTAGTAAAAAAATTTGAATCCCACCACTGATGCATTTGTACTCATGCATGAACATACACTGTATTGTACATTTTTGCTCCTTTAGAAAATAAAGAATTACCAGAACTGCAGTTAGAAAAGTACATGTGGTGTTTAATGGGTCATTGCGATTTGATGGATCACTTTCATTAAGGTTTTTGGGGAGGATACCTGCTGTTGTAATATCTTATGTTTAGCTTTTATGCAGGAGTGTGTGTGTGTGTGTGTGTGTGTATAAATAGAATATTGAAAGCAAACAGGAATTAATACGTATTCTTACCTATGTTGAAAAGATGTTTTCAAAGTTGGAAGTTGCTCAGCACTTTGAAAAATAAGTCTTCGTTGAGACTTATTATTTTCTACTTAGATTCAGGGCAAAGACATCATTCAAAACCATTTCTCTCTGTGAAAACAATCCTTTTCAATATTCCAGAGTGCACAGCTAATACATACTTATGAATCACAGTTACAACGCTCACAGAGATGTAACAGAGCCTGCACTGCCCACCTGAATAAAAAAAAGTCAGACTAAAAAAAAATGCTATAGGCCGCAGGGAATACTTTAGTGGCATTGCTGGAAAACCAATTGATGCAAGAGTTTCAGATAAAACAAAAAGAAGAAACAAGTTATCCTATCCTATCCCATTCCTCAGCTAACATGTCTAGAGGAGGATTCTGAGATCTGGTGCACCTTCATCACTTCCTACAAACCACTCCCACTTTATTTTAATTCCATCAATTTTCAAGTCTAATAGCCCTGTGTCAGTTTCTGGAATTCCCAGTGAACATCTTCAGCCAATCATTCCTCAGTCAAGAATATCAATCATTGCATTAAGAATTGCAGAATTGCAGAATAACAGAGTTGGAAGGGACCTTGGAGGACTTCTAGTCCAACTCCCTGCTCAAGCAGAAGACCCTATACTATTTCAGACCAATGGCAATCCAATCTCTTCTTGAAAACTTCCAGCAATGAAGCATTCACAACTTCTGAAGGCAAGCCATGATTCCACTTATTCATTGATCTCACTGCCAGGAAATTTCTCCTTAATTCTAGGTTGGATCTCTCTTTTAAAATCTTCCATCTGTTACATCTTGTCCTGACTTTGGAGAATAGGTTGACAGCCTCTCAAACATTGGAAGACTGTTATCATGTCATCCCTAGTCCTTCTCTTCGTTAGACTTGACATACCAGGTTTCCTGCAACTGTCCATCATGTTTTAGTCTCCAGTCAGAGATGGTTTGCTGCTGGTACAGCCTGGATCGGGCGAACTGGTAGTAGCAGCGGCGGCAAGCTTCACCCATCCGCCCGGATGCTTCTGCGAATGTGTGCATGCAGCCACAAGCAAACCAGTAGTAAAAGTAATAGAAACCCACCACTGCCTCCAGTCTCCTGATAATCTTTCTTGCTCTTCTCTGCACTCTTTCTACAGTCTCAGCATTTGTTCTTTTGTTCTTGTAGACCTCCAAACCCCTGTTCTAATGGAACTGCAGAAGACAACGCTCTTATGATGTTAAGCTTTCTAAAGTTTCAAAAACTCTGCTCTCAGGGTAACCCTTAGCTCACTCTGCTTCAGAAGTGATAATCACTTATTTTATTTTTTCCCAATCCTAAGAATGTCCAGAATTTTGTGAATTAACAAACACAAACAGAGTCAAAAGTTCTGATTCACCAGGGTACTGTATCAGCAAAGTTTGTTATTACAATAAATCCTGATAGTAATAAGGCAGTACAATCTCACTGGTGAATTTCCCCCGAAAAGGGCTGGGGCAGGAATCATAGCTGGCAGTTTAATGAGAAAATAAATGAGTTCACTGGCACTGGAATTTCTTCTATAGCTGAGGCAAGTGAGGTTGAATAAGGGGAACCCAGAATGGCAGCGAAAAGTGAGAAAGTTGAGTTTTTAGAGTTTATTCCTGTTTGCTGTTGACTTCCTTCTGCAGTAAAAACAGTAACAAAAAAAAAGTATACTATTGTTCTTGACAAATGATCCACCATCCCTTATGGTACCTGTCTTTGAGGAAGGCACAACAATGCTTTGCTCTAAAGCCCATGATGATTAAATGAAAATTAAAAGTATCAAGGATGTTGAATAGATGGGAACTGCACGATGTATTTGCTGATAAGCTAGCTGGCAAATAAGATGTACCTCCAATGAATTTTCCCAACATCAATCGCTCCGGCATGCGTAGTCCTTTCTTGTAGAAATAAAAGAAATGGGAATATGCAATCAGAGCCAACAAAGGTACATACGCCCTTTTCCATTTTTACTTGATTCATTCATGAAATTGTCATGCCAAAAATAATTGAACTTCAAAGAGTTCAGTGAAGGAGAGAGCATCTGTTTATGTGGATAGGCCTAGAGCAACTATATCACTGCAGAACTCAAAGTTCAAAGAATATCTTCCAAATCTAAAAAAAGTAGGACAATATGTCAAACTGCATAAGATGGCTGACCCCCCACCCCTAAGCCAGGGGTGTCAAACTCAAGGTCCAAGGGCCAGATCTGGCCGGCAGGGTGCTTAGATCTGGCCTGTGGGGCTGCCCTGGAAACAGCGAAGGACCAGCCCGTGGTGCCTCTGCCAGTGAAAATGGAGCTCAGGAGGGCTATGTTTGGCCTTCCCAGGCTCCATTTTCAGCTGCAACAGCCTCCTGCCACCCTCTGCCAGTGAAAATTGAGCTCAGGCCCCCAAGCTCCATTTTCATTAGCCAATGGTGGCAGGAGGCCATCGCAGCTGAAAATGGAGCACCTTGAGCCCATTTTCGTTGGCAGAGCGCTTGGGCCACTACAGACACCCCAACATGAGTAATGTCAAGCTGGCCTTGCCCACCCTGGCCACGCCCACCCCACCCCTGAGGCCAAACCCAACCCTGATGCGGCCTTAATGAAATTGAGTTTGACACCCTTGCCCTAAGCAAATGCAGGAGGTTTGAAAAGAAATCTTTTGAGAAACACCAAAGTTCTGCTGAAACAATGAATTTGCTTTTGATGCTGCTCATCTACAATCTCCAAAAAACTCAAAAGAATCCACTGGCTTGCAATTCCACTATCCAGGTCTCAGTACAGATAACTTAAGCAGTTGTTCTCCAAGAACCTGATTAGAATATCACATGGGATGGAATCCCAACCGTCATTTTGATCTTGAGATCAGTTCCAGGATTCTGGTTACTTTCACCAGAATGGCCTGTGGACAAGTTATGTTGTCACAAATGTTCTTCCAGTTTTGAATTTGGAAGACAGAATAGGACAGTCGCAGATCATACAAGGTTCAGCATTTGCCAAGTTTTGAATAAACTAGTATATTTGAACAAATTATTTTAATATATTTTAAAACATATTTAGCATATTTTTCTAGTAGTGGAACATTAGCCAGGCTAAAAAGCAACCTATTTTTCTGGAAAAAATCACTATAAAGCATTAACTATTTGAATATTACAATGAATTTGTTAATAATAATCAATGAATTAGTAAAATATTAAGACTTTCTTTGGCTGAGGATAGATTAGAACCTGGGTCTATTTACGTCAAGTCCTGAACCTTAATCACTGTACCACTCTGGGTCTTATTTAGAAAAAAGGTTTTGACAAGATAGTTTCAGAATTCTGAAAATACAAAACTTTTAGCATTCATGATTTAATGGTCTGAAATTAATTAAACTAGGGATGCATATTTGAGCTGCTGATAAATTAGAAATGTTCAACTCTGGACTACCATCTGGTGTTTGCAGCGCAAATCTAGCAATCCTAACATAAACATTTCCATGTTATGTTAAGGCCTAGATAAGGTTTTCAGCAAGAATTACAGTATTATTTTGTAGGCAGCAATTAAGAACAAAGCACTAGAGGGCAGTATTACCCATCAGTGTACTGTATAAATAAATATGTGCATTTTATAGGAACCTCCACCCCCCCACCCTTTCAACCTTCATGAGTAGTTTTTCCAGTATGTTGAGCTGGCTTGGCCAGAAAAAAATATATTGTCAGAGGGAAGAAAGGTCTC